ATAAATAACGAAAGAAAAAACCGGCAAATTAAATTTTTATTAATTAACTTTTAGAAAAAATACTTAATTTTTTTTTTTGAAACGAGATTAAAATAAAATGATTGAAATTTCGTATCAATTTATAATGAAACTATTTGCTTCATGGTTACTTACATTCTGCAAATTTAACGCCAACGGTCTTTTTTTTCCATTAAACGTTAATTACTTTTCATAAGGCGTTTTATTTTATTTAATTTAATTTAATTTTTTTTTTTTTATATATCGAAAATGGAACGTTAAATAAATTTTAAAGCGAAGTTTGAACTCTAATAGTTATAAATTTCTATCATAAATTAGCCTTTGATCATAAAAAGCTCAGTAAATAAGGGTTGCTAATTCATATATCTTGCTGAAGTCTTCCTTCCATATTTTATTTTTAGCGATTGTTCTGAGAAAATTTCGACTAAGCACTTTATTCTCTTTACATTTCGTGAAAATGCATTAAATATTTCGAAAGTGATAATGCTGTATATTCATATTTTACATGCCTATTTGAAAATGCGTAACAACGAGGTTATTTTACATTCCGAAAACTCCCAGATCCAAAACCACGTTCTAGCAAATTTTATAAAATTCAACTGTACGAACGAAATCAGTATAATAATTATTCATGGGGCTAGCGTATGAGTTTCCATATGTTTTTTACAAGACTGAATGGATCTTTTCTATTTTAATTTTTATAATAGGGTAGTTTATTTGTATTCGATGATGTAATTATTAAGACTAGACATTTAGAACAAAAATAAAAGGGATAAGAACAAGTATGTTAAAATAATTCTGGTCTTTTAAATGATAAGAAATTTGAAAATAAAATTAGAAATTAATGCTATGTCGGTCTAATGTATTACGCAAGCTTAATTTTGACCTGTCTTGATTGATAACTTACCTGATGAGAAAGAATATTAAATTACTCGAATGTAACCTGCAATTTTTAGGTTACATGACTTTCAATCCAGGAGCTAACAAACTGTTACCAAAAAAAAAATGATAATGATTTAATCTTCATATTTTGCGAGAATAATTCATGTAAATTTTGTTTCATATTGAAGGGTTTTATTTTTCATCATGTGCAACCATATATCAAACATTACATAATTAATAATTGTAGAATTCAGTGATCGAGAGATACCATGGAATTATGCGTTAAAATTGGATAGATACAATTCAAAAGAGATCGAACATCAAAATCTGTATGACATAATTAACAAAATTATAAAACGATTCTTTTTCAAGTTGGTTTACATGTTTAAACCCAAGTTCATTACGAATATTGATGAAGTCATGTATTTCTTTTATATTTTGGATTAGAATTATTTTTGTTTTTGTTTCTGCGTCAATACATGATAAGAGAAAGTCCTCCAGAATCCTGCACCGATAATAATATCTTTGCGTGTTGCACTTAATTCAAAGATTATTGTATTTGTTATTAAGTTGCTAAGAAAGAATATTTCTTAAATAAAAATTTCGATTTTTACGAATTGAAGGAGGCTGGCGAGAGTTATTTTATTTTTTAATATTTAAAGTAATGGTAATTTCTTTTGAAAAGAACGTACAATATTTAGTCGAAATTCACCATAATCAATGAAATATTTTCTAGAACAAATAGAGATTAGTACTTTTAAGTTCTCATCTTTATGAATAATTTATGAAATTTATATGAAGTTTATCTCAAAAAATGAATCTTCTAGACAAGTGTTGAGATGATTGATTCGAATTGAATATTATAAATAAAGCTCATAATTAAAAGAAAAGAACATAATGGTAATAATCTTCAAGATGATATATATACTATGATTGGGTTTTTAATTAGAGATTTGGTAAATCCATTAAAACAAGTTCATATTGAAACCTCAATTTATAACAAATACATTTGCATTACAATACATTGCGCACTTTTTGTTCCAATCAATTGTCATAAACATTAAATATCAGTAAAAAATATAAAAATTGTATAATAACATAAGAGAATATAGAAATTTTCCAATTTTCCAATTATTCTATAATGAGACTCCCATATCTGGATCCCCATGATGGGTCAGTATTATCTATCATGCCATATTTTTCACAAAGATCATCTTTAAGTTTCCACCAAACTGCGCGCATTTTTGTTAGATGTTCATCTGAAGGTTCTGATCGTGGAAAAGGAAGCCATGATGGATGATATTTACGTAAAAATTCGGTAAGATAAAATTTATCATCATTAAAACCATATGACCATAATCTATTGTCATGAGCTTCGTCCTCAGTACAAACGATTAAAGACGGGTGTTTAGTTGTTTTACCGCGAAAACCAATAAAAGCTGGAAGAAGATGGTTGGTTACTTGATGACGACTATGACCATCATTAGGCAGCTCACACTTAGAAGAGCAAAGTGGACATCTTGCTGCACAACCTAGTTTATCCCAACAAAATTCTTTTGATGATTCCAAATGTTCTTGTATTGTATTTATTGCTTTACTTTTTCCTATGACAAACCATTCAGTTCGAATATCTTTAAGACCTTCTGTCAAGTATTTTTTAAGTGCGTTGCAAAATTCAACAGGCTTTTCAACTTTAATACTGCCAAATAGATTTTTGACGTCCTTCAAAATGTCGGAAAAATCATGTGATGGCACAGGTTTTATCATAGGAATATTACATTTGCTTTGCATAAGAATTCTGAATGACTGATATTCTTTAGAAGGAATTGACTTTCCAAATAAATATTGAATAAAATGTGATAATAATAATTGATTATAGCTTTGATCCGGATCAAACAATTCACTCCATTCAGAGATAACTTTTAAAAGACTTTCTTCGATATTTATATATTCTTCAATTCCACGCAACATGGAATCTACTAAAGTATTGCTATATATGGCATAATCATTATTAAAAAGATCATGCATGTAATCTGTTGGATCTTCAAGATACTCTAGAATTGCATCAATATTTAGCGCATCAAAACTTTGTTTATAAGCATAATTTGTTGCTGTATATGTGTCCATCCAACATGATCTTAAATAAGATTGAAGTTTTTGATCAATTGTACTTCCTTTTACTGCCATTTGTTGTTTAAATGCTATTAAAATATACTTAAGTATTTCCTTTGAAAGGCTTTCATTAGAAAAGTCTGTTAAAATTTTCTGAAATGAAGTTAATAAATTATTTTTCAGGTGATCTAATTTCTCTTTTTGTTGTTTTTCCCATTCCAACGTATTATTCCTCAATGCATTATATATTTGTAACCTTAGATATTTCTGTAATACAATTTTCATTATTAGCATTACACTAATATAAAAAAATTAATTTTTTTAAAAAAAAAAATACCTCAAAAAAATCAAATTCAGGTTGAAACTCTATGTTATAAGACTGTGTAAAATCAAATAAGCAATCACACAATATCTTAAGCCATTCAATTGCTTGCCCATGCTCAATATGTAAAGATAATTTTTGTTTCGACTCATAAGTAATCCCATTGATGGTTTGTATAATTTTTTGTTTGACTTCTTTGGCTAATTTTTTTTTGCCAATATTTGACTTTTTACTTTTAACCACAGATTTTAATGTATCAAAGAATGTCGTATTAACATTTATTATTTTTTGAATTTGTTGTACATCGATATTAATATGTTCATCTAAAGTAGATGGTTTCTTTAAGTTTGTCCAAAAACCACGTTTAAATTTTTCTTTCTCTTTTTGTTCTGTTTCTTGACGAATTGAGCCAAATTCACCAATGGCATTGTTAAAGGTTTGTTGAACATGCTGTTTCAATTTCTCTGGTTGTATTACCATCTGACGAGTGAATTCTATTTTATCCTCTTCTACTTCTTTCCAAATGTCCTCAAAAATTTCTGTACATTTTGCTTCATCACCTTTCAAGTTAGCTGTGTTTAATCCTTTAATTTTCTTGCCAACTTTTTCTATCGCACAAGCCGATAACCAAGAATCTTTGTACTCTCTTACTGATGACATCCATTGGGCATCTTGTTCTCTTCTTTCAGCCGCAATCATATTAAGAATGAGTCTTTTTCCTTCTCCTACAGTACTAGCATCGAATTGTTCCTGTACTAATTCAGTATAATACTTTAAGTTCTCTCTTTGCCAATTATCTGCTAATGAATCCAATTCCATTCTAAATTCTGATTCAATTTGATTCCATTTTGAATAATCCGCTTTAATTTTCTCAACATATTCATCAATTATAGTCTTAGCATGTGAAGTAAAGTCCGGCAATCTATTTTCATAAATAATACTAACGAGGGTACGCATTTGACACCATGCTTGAATTGCTTTAAAGCTTTCAAAATGAAGAAAACTTCCATATGTATTAATTTTACTCCATACCGTTTTCATATATGGAATAAATCCTAAATTAAAAGTATTTATTATATTATTATTATAAAAATCAGCTATTTAATTAGATAAACTACCTTGAACGTTTGTAAAATGTTCCAACGTATTATTTTGTAGTAAAGCAGATTTTAAGAGTGATTGTCGTAAGCTTGAAATTTTTGCCGGAAAAACCTCCTATTTTGTAAATTTGATTAATTGTTAAAAGAAAAAATTCAAGTGAACAAAATATACTTACAGCCGGTAAATTAACATTTTCTGTTTTTCCAATATTGTTAATACGTGGACGAAAATCATCTTTATAACAAGAGAATGCATTTTCAAGCAAATGAACGTCATTTTGTTCTACTGACATAAAATCTTCTAATGAATCTAAGCAACCAGGAATTTGTTGAAACATTTTTTTTAATCCATCAACTATATCTTTAAATGCTGGTTTTTGAGCTTCTATAGTATCAACCATATCTCGAAGGACAAAATGCAACCTGGGTTTCGATTGTCGATGTCTCAAAGCATCCAAATGCCATGAAGATACTTCTAAAATATCTCCAATATCCCTTGTTAATCCTTTTGTATTAATTATTACAATCTGAGAACACATTAATGCCAAAAGTGTTATTTTTTTATCGAAGCTGGTGCGATGTGTAATATATTTTTGAGCGGTTGAGGCCATTCCTTCAGAATCAAGTATTAGCAAATCGATTGTATTTCTATCGATATCTGCAGTTCGATAACTCATATATACACCTTTTGTGCTAAAAATAAAACAAATAAACTTCAGTTATTAAGAAAGAGGAAACAATTATTTATGACAAATTTACCATCTTGAGGCGGAAGTAGCAAATCCACAATGAAATAAATAATTTAAAAGAGTGGATTTTCCTGAACTTTCAAGCCCGATAACTGAAATAACGATTAATCTTCGTTGAAGATTTGTCATTAAGTTACTTAAAACACTGGACAAAAATTTTGTCGGAAGAGAACGTAACGATAAGCCATCAAGCAACTGTAAAGGTTCTCCTTCAAGAATCCAGGTTTTATACGCTTCTTGTAATTTTTGCGGCTTAACATTATATCTAATTTCAAAACGTTAAAAAAAAACTTTAATCATTTTTTCGTTTAAAAAAAAAATAAAAAAAATAAATATACATTTATTTATTTAAATACTTACAAATGTTCTAATATTGATTTACTATTCGAATGATGTAACTCGGATAATATAATAAATTCACGCCAAAAATCATGAATAGAAATATCATTCTCCTCAATTATCTTTTTGATTTCAGTTCTATCAACGTTATCTTTATTTTGTATTTCATTTAAATATTTTTTAAAAAAATCATCAATTTGGCCGGCAAAGTCTCTAATGTTTTCTATATTATTTTCATTAATTAGGTTTGCGAATTCAGTAAAAATTGACAGTGCATTATCTAACCCAATTTTGAGTTGTTCGCGTCGAGCTTGTTGAATTTTAGTTTGGATCTCTCCTTCGGTCATGAATTTTGCATTTTCCTGCGATTCTGTTGTGGATTTCTTATCATTTAAAGCTTCAATCTCATGTTCGAAATGAGTTGCACGAAAAACATCTGATCTTTGTTTAAATTTAATTGATTTCATTTTAGAAGAAAATGAAGATTCCCCTATTTCATGATTCCAGATATTTAAAGAATCATTATTTGGTAATGTAAGGGTTAGTAGTGGAAAAATAAATTTTGCTTTAAGGTTTGACAGTTGTTCCAGTACATCATCTTTTTTCTTTTCAAGAAATTGATTAAGGTCTTTAGGAATTTGTTCAATTTTAATATATTCAGATTTAAAGTATGGTTCTAATAACTTTTTTAAGGTTTTCTTGCGCTTGCCGTAAAGATCTTTATTTTTTGACTTACTCCAATATATGATAGATATTTTTGACTCATTAGGTTCTGGCGAGAAATTCTTAATGAGTTGTTTTAATTCATTAGACGGCAAGTTATTTTCAAAATCTTGATCATTTATATGTAAAAACATGTAAAATGCGAATTTTGAGAAGCCGTTAATTAAACTGAGAAAAATTTGATGAAGGTTCTCTTCTAAATATATTTCGGCTATAGCGACAGGCTTCCGTCCATTATTTTCCGACGCGGGATGAAAAGAAATGTCCATTGATCCAGCAGAAGTAATACTTAAATCATCCTCACGGTTTTTGCAGATGATTGGATAAAGTTTTTTCGAAAATGGTGTGGATGATTCGCTTGTACTTAAATTAAATGATAATAATAAATGATATTTATCCCGAATTATTAAACTACGAATTTCTCTTAAAATCGTTAAGCCTTTTTGACTAAATTCATTTTTATTTGTAAATAGTAATGGAATGGGAATGTTTGCTCGAGTAAGTGAAATTAGGATCTTTGTTAGTGCTTTTTTAGGGATCTTATCCAAGAAAGCTACAAGATAATCCCTTCCTTTACAATTAATCAATCGTTTTAATATTTGAGAAGGATCATCAATATTGTCAGAAGCAGAAATTTGTCGAATACAATCTTGAATTCGTTGTAATGGAATTGTTCTATTTATAATATCGACGATATATGGAAATATATTTCGAAGGATTCCTTGCGTATCATGATATTTCAGATAAGGTCCTACTTCGGTTTTAAATACGTCTTCATTTAATTCAGCAGTTACAAAATTTGTAGCATCATATTTGATTACATCATCACCAAAGGTCATTTGGAAAAATTCTTCAAGAGATAAATCTTCTAATGATTCGGATTGTTCCTCATCGGATGAGTCATCAGAATCGTCAGAACTTATACCTGAAGTGTTATTATTATTAAAACCTTGCAAACTTGAAGACAATTTCAGTTGGACCCGATTTTCTGTTGAATTATTTTCAAATTTTATGTTAATTCTTCTGTTACTATAGATTAAATAAAAAATAATTTTTTAAACAAAATATTGGTAATTTACCTTTATTTGTTGATTCCAAAATATGAGAAGAAAAATATGATTCAAACAATATAAAATAACTAGCGATCGCTACCCGGGCGATGCCCCGGGGGCTCCACGCGATGCGTGAGAAGCGTTTCCATCTCTTTAAAAAATTTTTTTTTTTTTTTTTTTTTTTTTTTTCATTTTTTCACGCAACCGGTCACCCGGTAACCGGTTTGAAATCTCATGAAATTCGACCCGGTACCCGGTGAACGATCTG